AGGGGGCAGGCTTGTAGTATATACCCTTTGGTTGGTTGATGATGCATGGAGAGGATTGTAACCATGGCAATGAAAGGATACATGATAGGATGAATATAAAACTAATGTTCTCCCATGTAAACTACCATATAATTCACAATAAAACATTTTTTAAAAATGAAAAAAAAAAGTAAAATGGGGTGGAATAAAAAAAGATACAGAGACTATCTCAGGGCATCACAGATAGGGAAAGCATTATTTTATGAAACTTTCATTTTAAATACACACACACACACACTTTTGATCTAAAGTGTATTTCTCACTCTGGTTTGTGGTTTAAACAATATGAAATGTATTGGTCTAGTGAGTAAATACTTACCTTTATACTATCTCTCAACTTTGCTTCCTTTTAAACCCCAAGTATGTAAAGTCCAAGTAGAATAAATTTAACTATCACTAAATAAAAACTAATAGCAATCTGATTCTAAATGACTCAAAATTATAGCTTGAGTTTTAAAAGTTACTTATGGTGACCTTACCATTGGATGGAAGGTTGATGTTATCCCACAGTTCCATACTCTATTATTCTGTTTTTTAAAATTCATGTTAAAAGAAGTAAAACATGGTAAGATGAATCCCCCTTCTATCAGACAGAACACACAATGAAATGGACTGGATAGAACTCACAACACAAAATAATGTAAACACAAGGTGTTATTTATTTTTCTGAAGCACAAAGGATCTCACTCAGCACAGAAACAATAAACAAATCGATACAAATATTGAGAAAACATTTCCCCATGAGTACATACGTATACATTCTTAAGAGCAGCAATCGGGAGTTTAAGAACAATTTCAGGTGAGTTTCTCTAAAGGATGCTTTCTGACAGGCTCATGAACAGGAAATGGACAGGTATTTAACTACCACAGAGCAAAATTGCTAAGAATAGCATCCTCCCAAGTGCACCCCAAGTTACTTGACTGGTAAAGCCATCTTGGAAGAGTTTTCAATGTAATCATTCCTCTGTTCAGCTCTCACATTTCATTCATCTTAAGATTGTACCCACAAACTGACCCCATAACTCTTTCTCTTTCACACTCAGGCTTGTGGGAGGGCAAGGGAGTTAGACTGGGCATGCAAACAACTATACTGACCAATATTAGGATTACCTAGATAGTCTGTCTAATCGTGAAAGTACTTCTTTCTACGTTTTTCCTTAAGACACATCAAGAAGTATGAAGAGCCCAAAATCATACCTACAGCGGTGTGAGCAGATTTGAAATTGTAAGTATCTCTTTTAAATCTTCATTAAAAAAACAAAAAACAAAATTCAAAAGTTATAACAATCCACTCAATTTTAAAATTATTTCAAGGCCTGTTGGTGCAGTAGGCTCAGTGCTGGGTTGCCAACTGAAAGGTCAGTGGTTTGAATCCACTAGTCGGCTCTGGAGGAGAAAGGCAAGGCAGTCTACTTTTGCTCAGAAACTCTATGGGGGCAGTTCTACTCCATTCTAGAGGATTGTTATAAATCAGAATTGACTTGATGGCCATGGTTTTTAAGTCCATTGGGCATTTAGCTTACCTTTTAATAACTCAGAGCACTTTTTTAAAAGCATGATTCCAACAACATAATCAACCTAAAAAAATGGACAACAATGAAAAGATTCCCAATAGGCTGCCAGTTAACCAATCAGTTGGGAAAGTCATTCCAACTCTTAGCAACCCTGCGTGTGTCGGAGTAGAACTGAGAACCATAGGATTTTTCATGGGCTGATTCTTCAGAAGTAGATCACCAGGCCTTTCTTCCTACCTAAGTGCTTCTAATTGAACTTGAATCTCCAAACTTTTGGATATCCACTAAGCATGTGAATCATTTGCACCACCCAGAGATTCCCCAGTAGGAGAAGCACAAGGTAAAATTGATACAACATGCTTTCTAGCTTAAAGCTTTTCAACAACCTGGTTCTAAGTGAAAAAATTCAAAATAGGAAAGGTTTGTAGGGAGAAAATATTCAAAACGCATTGATGGTAATGATTGTATAGTTGTAAGCACAGTTGCCTTTCAAAATACATTGCTGTATTTCCGCTCTAAGATCTCAGCTGCAGCTGCCAACAAGGATATATTCAAGGTTCATTTCAGTATCAGTTAAGCACCATAGGGAGTGTTTTCCTACCACTTTCCTTCCTTTAACTTGTAGAATTCTCACTGAAATAAAAAGGAGATCCAATGGGGTTCATTGCTCATGAGCTTTAACTTAGAAAGACCTCCTCCTGTGTCAAAATAGCCTTGTAGCTTCTGAAACCACTGGCAATTAAATTATAGAAAATGCTAGGGCAGAAATAAGGAAGATGAGTCTCTTCAGTCTCAATTTTTGATTACTAGGACAATCTCTCATATTTTATTTCCCATGTTTCAGTCTCTTTGGAACACTCACCTTAACTGTTTGCTGTTGTATTCTGGTTACAAAAAAAAAAAATTGTTTTTGTAAATTTATGACCATCACTATTATTGAATATGTTGGTTTTTACCTCTCAGAGAGCATTCCATTAAAAAAAAATTACCATGAAATGGGTGTGGAGTGAGGGGGCTGATCAGCTTTAATTCTTTCTTTCCTGTCAGAAAGCAAAGTATTCAAGAATAAAGTGACAAGTAGGATTGGCTTGGGATACTGCTTCTTGACAATTCAGAAAGTCAGCCTACATTAGCGAAGGCAACACTTCAAAGTGCGAAACATCTGGCCACAAGTATGGCTAATGCCTGTAATAGTGCACAGAGTTTATGCAACATTCAGAAACACTGCACTTGGAAGATTAAAATACATACGTCATAAGGATGCAGGGGGAGCAAAGTACATGTAAACAAGTCAACACATTCTAGTCTTACTAGAAATGGAAGCAGTCTGAACACACTATCAAGGAAAATCTAACACTTGGCAGATTGACTGTAAATGGCCAGTCTTCCTGTTTCTGATGCCATACATTTATATTTATTTACTGCATGTGGATCCTCAATCTAAATGAAAACTAATGTTCAACATCAAAATGTCTACACTTTAAAGGAATGTTAAGAGTAAGATCTTGAAACAGTTGGAAACAGTTACTGCCTATGAGTGGATCTTGTCCATCTTATCTAAATTCCTGAACCTACTCCCTTGGGAGTAACCAAGTTCCTTTGGCAGGAGTTAGAAGGTATAGCAGTTAGCAGGAGTCCACACACTAGAGAAGTCAGGAGAAATTTGTCAATGCATCTGTGACATGGATCAGGAATGAAAAACACTGGAAAGAAGAGACTGAAATCGGGCTCTGTAATTTAATAAAAAACACAACCAAAAAATATCTTCCATCTTTAGGTTTAGTGTATCAAATCAACTCTAAAAGTGTTTTTGTTGTTGTCTACCAGGAAAAAGAAAAACACCTAGGTGAATTACTGTTGAGTGAACATGATTATATGAAAATAAAATGTGTAGTATAATAGCTCTGTAAATATAGAGTTAGCCATATTACATAAAGTTCTTTACCATAAGGTAATAATATGAAATCTCACCTAAGCCCAAGGAACAAGAATGATATAGTTAAAAACAAAAAACAAAAACAAAAAACTATTCCTTTTCCTTGTTGGGGTATAGCATTCAGAATTATAAAAGAAACGTATGGAATTTAAATTACATATTCATATCAACACTTTTTAAGGATTTATTACAAGGTCATAATTTGATTTTAATTTTAGGTAATGGGAAAGCACACTATATTAATTAGGAAGTATAAAAATGTTCTTTGCAAAAAAAAAAATGTTCTTTGCTTTGTTTAATGTTCTGAAATATCTACTACAAGTTAGGTTCTATTAACATACACAAGACATGGGGCATGCACTTTTCGTTATTGTTATTCTAAATTTCCAATGTCCTGAAAAGTGTTAAGTAATTAAACAGACAACTGGATAAAATAGGGGAATAAAGCGTTTTCAATAGGGAAGGCTTACTGATTTTAATACTATTTCTTTAGTAGGATTTGTCCTTCATTAAAAAATTCCAACAGATTGATGGTCAGTGTATGAAATGTCCAGTGACTAAAGGATAACACTTGGGTAGAATGGGTCATTGAAATGAAACCTCTCCCTTTAGTATTGGTTAGTGAACGTCCAAAACTACTTCAATTTAAGAAGACTCCAGTTTACACAACAATGGAATATGTATTTGACCTCTCTTCTAATAAAACAGAAGCAATAACATCACACAGCTATAAATCAAGGTGATTTTAAAGTACACAGAAGTACAACTATTTATGCCATCTAGTTACATGAGTAATATTCCTAAGAAACTTTAAATCCTTAATGCCCACTTCTGTGGAACACTCTCAAGCACAGAACTACATTAAGAAAGCATGTGGCATTCAATTTCTAATATTTCATCCCCAAAGAAGGCAAAACATAACAGTGACACATCTCTGATATGCAAATTCCTTTAAGTGCAAACTTCCAAAACACAAGGTCGGTCTAGAAGCACAGTTTAAATTCAAAAAGTGCTCGTTTTAAATTGGTATGCTCAGAATGTATTGTTCAAACACAACTCTTAAGAGTTTTTGCAAAATTTGTTCATAGTCTTTTACTCTCTCACAAAAAATAATCTCTCTGGTCCTTTCAGATTTCTGATTTTCACATTACTTCAAAATATTTAACCGTATAGGAATTACTTTTAGCTCCACATTTCAAAATATACAATCAATGTTACTTAAATCGCATAAGGACACCACCAGCAAAAACATTCCCTTATATTTGACCTTAAAGTAAATCTGAACTGCTCAGAATGAAGAAATTTTCATGAAATTATGAACTCTCCCAATCAGAGAATTAAGGATTAGTCCAGCTTCCTTCAGAGGATTTGCCAAGCACATACCAAGATACAGAAAGAGATAGTCATCCCAAGAACAAGGTATGATTTTTTGACTTTCTAACTCCGCCTGGGCAGAAGGGAGGCGCAAAATCACTTTTTCCCAGGAGAACATTTGCAGAAGTCTGAGGGTCTTACACAGAACTTGAGAATGGGACCACTTGCTTTCCACCGACATAAACCTCCTCAATATTTCGATCATCTCCTGAAAGAGAAGGTAAGAAATCTTTTATGATATGCTAATAATATGTCAATGATGATGTATATGGCCACAGACTGTGATTTAAAAACAAAAACAGTTCTGAGACAGGAAATATTAAAAGCTATCATTCTTTTCTGTCATATTGTTTATGATCTTGACAGAGTAACGTGATCAATAGAGCATGCTGGGTGGAACTTGAGGGTGAATTCTACACACAAGTAAGGTGGGAATCACATATAGTTGAAAAGACCCTCAATTGTTCTCCAGCTGAAGTAGCTGGTTTGCATTTCTAGCCTCTGTTGTAAAAGGAATACTCTTCTTTAAACTGAGGAGTCCCTGGGTGGCTCATGCAGTTAATGCACAGCTGCTAATGAAAGGTTGGAAGCTGAGTCCACCAAGAGGTGCCCCTACAGTAGGGTTTGTGGATCTACTTTCAAAATATCAGTCACCGAGAACCTCAGTTCTACTCTGAGGTTGCATAAATTGAAGTGGACTTCAGGGCAACTGGTTTTATTTTCTCTTTAAACTCTAGAATCCTACTCATCATGAGGGGAATGGCCTTCAAGACATGAGCGCCACACAAAATCACTAGTATCTCAAGTACACTCAGGGGTCCCAGCTCACTGCACAGAATGGGAGGAAAAGTAGAATCTTTCATACTATTTTACTGTTTTTTGTTTTGTTTTGTTTTTTCTCTCTCTCTTAGGGAGCACAATCGAATGTGAATACGTTCAAAGTCTGTGTGACAAAGACTCCACTGCACAGAAATAAAGAGTGCAGTATGGCAGACTGTGGGGAAGAGAACCAGTATGAGAGAAATGGAAACTCTTTGGTTTTCCATTTCTCAGTGTAAGAGTTCCACGTTCTAGAGAAGCATGCACATTTCAAATAGTTTATATATCAAGCCTTAAATGAGCTTAATAGTGAGGGGTCTTTAAAACATAGTGTATCGAAGCAAATGATCACACATTGGGCTTAAGAGATGGCGCCATATTACAGAGAGAGGGACATCCAAAGAGACAAAAACAGTGTTTAGTTAGCAGACACATGTATCTACCTACCTAAATAGAGGAACTTCTGGATAACAGCCTAAAATGGAAAATAAAGGTTATAATGAGAACGTATCCTTTGTGCATTTAGAAAAGCAAATTCATACTCAATAGGGTTGGCAAAGCTAAGAAATATATTTTTTTTCTATCACAAATTAATTATTACATTAATTACTAAGCAATGGTCTCTAGCTTTAAATAATTGTTGTTGTTGGTGGTGGTATTAAGTACCATGGAGTCGGTTCTGACTCATAGTGACCCTGCACAGGATTTCCAAGGCTGTAAATCTTTACGGGAGCAGAAAGCTGCTTCATCTTTCTCCTGTGGAATGGCTGGTAGTTTCGAACTGCTGACCTTGAGGTTGGCAGCCCAATTTGTAAGCACTATGCTACCAATTATTAACTACCAACAAATGTTTATCCACTGACTAGAAGTTCTTGATATATAGCTTTGATATCCTCAGAAGAAGGCTTTATATGAATTTTTAAGAAGTTAATATAATAATTCAAACATTTCTATAGGTGTACAATTTAAGAAAAATGATCAGATACATGGAACTGAGTTCTATTCTAAGAAAATCATTCTAATAAAGGACTAGAAGAATAAATAATATGCAAACAACAAATGATACTTAATTTCAAATAATCCAGCATCTCTCTTACAAGAACTTCCATGGTTAAGCACTTACCTGCTAACCAAAAGGTCAGTGGTTCAAACCCACCAGCTACTACGTGGGACAAAGATGTCGCAGTGTACTTCCATGACAACTGGAAACCCTATGGGGTGGCTCTACTTTGTCCTCTATGGTCACTCGGAGTAGGAACCAACTCAATAGCAATATTGTTGTTAAGTGTTGTCATGTCAGTTCTGACTCACAGAGACCCTGTATAGCGTTCTGAGGAGTGGCTGGTGGGGTTGAACCGATGACTTTGGGGTTAGCAGTCCAGTGTTTATCCTATAGCGACATACCAGGAGTTCATCAACAGGAATAGGTTTGTTGTCATTTTTGTTTGTGTGTGTGTGTGTGTGTGTGTGTGTGTGTGCGCGTGCGTGCGCGCGTGTATGATTACATTTACTTTCACCTTCAATTTGATCCTCTGATCCGGTTCCCGAGCCCTACCTGGTAACTAACTTTTACTGGAATTGGCTGGAAGTGAGGAGGGGGACCCAGGCTAACATTTATATAGACAGAAAGTCTGTCTTGTAGTTAACAAAGAGTAAATGGTTAACTTATAAAAGCTCTAGGAGCAGAGCAGTCCTGATCCAGAGAAGAGCTACCCAAGAGTCATGCTGAGGAAGACCTTTCCCAACGCTTGATCTCATTTTAAGTTATCCTGAGGGAAGGAAGAAGAGATCTGCTCTCATCTTCCATCTTCTCAGGCCCCATCCTTGAGCTGTCTCAACAACTTCCTTATGTTTACCTTGAATTCTTTCCCAAATCGTATCCTGTTACTTCTGTGTTGCTACCCTAATAAATCACAAACTGTGAGTTCTTGCCAGTCTGTGACTGCTGCGGTGTATTACTGAACTTAGCAGAGATATAAGAAGTAAAATAATGGAAAAGTGGGACGGTGGAACTCTACTTGACCTCAACCTCATGGGAACCAATTCTCTGCTGACTCTGGTTCATGACATTGTTCTTACATTAATTAATCAATTTGTAAATAGTAATATTACTCTTTTTAAAAAACAGAAACCCAATATCAGATAAAGAGTTATTATTAAAGTAAGAACTATTTTATTTCATGCATTTGTTGTTGCAGTGTGTTACTGAATCAGTTCCAACTCATAGCAACCCTGTTTAGGATTTCCAAGACTTTGAACTGCCAACTTTGTAATTAGCAGTCCAGTGTTTACCCTACAGCGCCACACCAGGGTTCATTTTGTACATAGCAAAACAATTTATAACAAGATAAACAAGGTAATGAAACTCATTTTCTTATAAAACCAAGAAAATCAATGAAGCAGACTGGTTAAGAGTCCAGCCTTTGGTAGTGAGAAGGTCAAAGGTTTGAATTGAAACTCTTCCAATTAATTACTAGCCCTGAGTCCTTACATAAATCACTTCACTGCTTTTAAGCCTCACCATCCTGAAGGATAATCGCAGGCCTGCAAGGTCAGTTTGAACCACAAGGTAGATGGCTCAAACTCACCAGTCACTCCCTGGAAACCCTATACTGGGTTGTTATGAGTTGAAACCAACTAGATGGCACTTATCATGAACAACAATAACCCCTATGAATAGGAACCCTGATAGCATAGTGGTTTACAAGTTGGGTTGCTAACTGCCAGGTCAGTAGTTCTAATCTACCAATTGCTCCATGGGAGAAAGAGAAGGTTTTCTGCTCCTGTAAAGATTTATAGGCTTCCTATGAGTTGGAACCAACTAGGTGGCACACAATCACCACTACCACCTCTGGTGTGGTGTTATAGGGTAAGCACTGGACTGCAAAAAAGGTTGGCAGTTCAAATGCGCCAGTCATTCCTCAGAAACCCTATAGAGGGTTGCTATGAATTGGAATTGACTTGACAGAACTTTGTAACAACAACCCCTCTAAGTAAAATAAAAATATTAACACTTTACCCACTAGAGTTGTTCTGATGATTAAAAGAAAGGATGTATAAAAGTGCTTGATCCATGCTTACCTAGCTCATAACAAATGTTTTATAAGTGCTAGATATAGTATGGCTGCTTGAAGACAAAATAAATTCAAAATACGAATATTTTGTTAATATTATTATTCTGAATATTACTGTCACAAAGTTGTAATAATACCTCAAACACCTAATTTGCCTTCTAAGATTCTCCTTATTTCCATTAAAATGTTTCAGCTTCTTCTTTTTTTTTTTTTCCCCCCCTACAGGGAAGCTATTATGACTACTTAATGTGATAAATGCCTTTTGACTTTTGATAAATGTTCTTTTGCTTACCTCTGAAATATCACCAGCAAAATCACCATAAAACAGGTCAATGGGAGAGTCTGATGCTTTGGGGTTGATCAGCAGTGCATCAAATTCCTTGCCCACTTCAAAGTTTCCAATCTCACTATCCAGTCCCAGGGCTACAAAGTGGAACAAGATAAGAAACAGTATTTAGAACCATCAGACCGTGCAAATATCATGCTTTGCAAGGGACACAGCCGGCCAGCATAACACTAGGGAAGAAAAAAAAAAAAAAAGTATCTTAATAATGAAGCAGGAAAGCTCTCTCATTCTAGTTGGTTATAAAACTTGTACTTATAAAAGCAGAGCACACACAGGAAAAGCAAAATTTGACAATAAAAACAGCTTTGTTCATTATAATGATCAGAATTCTCTATGTCAGTATGCTTTCTACCCTCTCTTCTCTAAGATTTTCCTTCATCTCTTTACAAAACAGGATGACTGACTTGATAGAAACCCCTTTGTTTTGTTTTTCCCTCCTATTCTCCACACAACACTCCCAACTCCTTTACTGCCTTTTTTGGTCTTATTGTTCTAACAAGATCCGTTTTCATGGCAGTGAAATGAACCTCAAATAAATAATAATTCTCCTTTTGTGTTATCTTCCAATGCCAACATATTTGTCATAAATTCCTTGGTTTAAATAAATCCTTTTAATAGAAAAAAAAAAACTTTTCAGTGTGAATAGATTTCACATTTTAGGAATCACAACGCTTTGAAAGTACTGGGAGTCTCTGTAACCTCGAAGGTTTTCTGATCACCAGCAAAGAATGGTTTTCTGAAATAGGGCATGGGTCACTAATGCCTATTGATCCTGTCCATCTAATAGCCAGCCAGAATTCATGCTCTGTGAATATTGAACACTAGGTAAGAACCACTCATTTTATGATTTCATTTCCAAAAATAGGGTACTGGACTTTCCTGGTCAATGAGGGTATTGGATCCAAAGCTCCTTGGAGCCTGTAATGTGACTAAGGTATACACTCAGGTAACAAGTGGAAGCATACTTGAAAGGAAGGTTAATCAGAGTGCAACATTACTGATTTCAAGTTTTGCATGCTTGTTGTATTCTATTACTCTCAGAATACAGTTGTGAAACAACACTGGATTACAGATTCCCATGACATAACATGCAATACTTTGTATTTCTGAGTCTGAATATCCAGAAATCTTTTGCCAATTCTCTGAGCACTAACTTAGAATCCTTACTTACTTGTAAAAGATCATTTAAAGGGCCAGTCTTTTATTCTCAGGAAAATTAAAAAGAAAAAGGCTTTTTGTTTTGTTTTTAGGTAAAGAACTTTCCATAGCAAGACAGAAGTGTGAAAGTTAGTGAGAAGTATCAAAAGCAGGTAGGTAACTTCTACTAACTGTGTGGGGTGGGAATGACTGTAATAGAAAATCACTGGAAATTCTATTCTCCTTCATTGATTACACTCTACTTTTTGGCACTGACAAAGAAGCAAGGCAAATGTGGTTTTTCAATGACTGTATTCAAGATATAACTGTTTTAATGTCCAATAGGCCAGATACATTTGTTGTTGGTGGTGGTTATATGCCGTAGAGTTGGTTCTGACTCATAGTGACCCTGTACAGTGTTTCCGAGGCTATAAATCTTTACAGGAGCAGAAAGCGTCATCTTTCTCCTGTGGAGCAGCTGGTAATTTTGAACTGCTGACCTTGCAATTTGCAGCCCGATTCGTAAACACTATGCTACTAGAGCTACTTAGATACATTTGTTAGGATCCAGGTAATTTTGGTGATATAAACTAATTGAGCCACACATTAGAACTGAAGAGTTTAAGCATGAACATATATGTTTAGATACTTGACACATTACTTTCAGTGACATTGTAAAGTGATGTAAATTGAGATGGTTGGACATGGGCTCAATTGGTAAGCAACTCGAATGCATTGCAGGAAATGCTGTTTTAACACTTTCTGGAGTGATTGTTGGCTCTAAGAAGGTGTTTTATGTGCATCTAGATTTTTCTTGAGAGTAGATATAGCAGAGCCGGGAAAATGACACACTTTAAAACAGGGTCCACTGATCTCATTGTACTCAAATTGTAGTAGAGATATAAGTTAAGGGGAAGACATTCCTAACAGTACCCAGTGGTTAAAAGCACATAGCAAGGTAGAAATGATATAGTAGGCACCCATGCTGACTTGCTCAGAAACAGGGTCCTGATGAAGCAATTCACTGAGAGCCTAGAATAAAAAAAGCACTGTTTAAGTATAGCTTGTTTGCACCATGAAAATAAGATGGTAAAACAACTACAGTTGCCCGTTGAATGTACTGATTTGAACTGTGTGGGCCCACTTAAATGTGGTAGTGGTGGTGGTGGTGGTGGTTATGTGCCATGGAGTTGGTTCCGACTTACAGTGACCCTGTCTGTATAAGGTTTCTGAGGCTGTAAATCTTTACGGGAGCAGAAAGCCTCACCTCTCTCCCATGGAACGGCTGGTAGTGTCCAACTGCTAACCACTTAAATGTAGGTTTTCTTTTTTTAATGCCATGTGACATTACTCATCTCTGTGTGAGCAGTGCACCTGTGCAGCAAATCGTGTATTGCAGTAAAAAGTGAACTCTCACGGTGCTCACATATTTGTCGTTGTGTTCACTGCAATACCATAAACTTTGAATCACACCACGGGACCCATATGAAGTGTCACTAGTGATGTTGGAAGTGCCCCCAAGAAACACAGAAAATCATGACATCATAAGAAAAAGTTTAGTTGTTTTATCTGTACCATAGATTGAGGTCTGCAGCTACAGTTACCCACCACAGCAAATAAAATCAATCACAAGATAGACTGGCACGATGGTAGTAGCAATGGGCTCAAATGTAGCAACGACTGTGAAGTTGGTGCAGGCCTGGGCAGTGTTTCATTCTGTTGTACATCGGGTCACTGTGAGTTAGTACCAACTTGATTGCACCTAACAACAGTTGCTACTGTTAAGTGCCGTTGAGTCCGTTCCGACCCATAGTGACCCTGTACAGGGTTTCCAAGGAGCAGCTGGTGAGCTTGTACCACTGACCTTGCAGTTCAAATGACCTTGCAGTCTGGCGCATTAGCCCACAGGACCACACCAGGTCTCCAACAACAACAGTAGCGATGGCTATTATTATTACTACTGTTTGGACCAGCAGAAAGCATGTGATGAAATCTAACACAGGCAAAGTTAACTCTATGATGACTGGCTATGAGCAGCCAATCAATTGAAAAAAATGTTTCCTTGGTGATGTGGCCTGCTCCCAATATAATGGACATGCAGGAAAAGCTTGCTCTTCCTCTTCTGCTGGGGATCTGGGACTTACAACAGCAAGCCATTTCCTTGATATAAACTTCTCTTTATGCATATATACATATATATGGTTTACTGATTTTGATTCTCTAAAAGACCTGCCTAAGACTGCATGTTGTTGACTCAAGAGGAAAACTGATTATTTTAAGGTATTTGCATGTAATAAACATAAAAATAAATGCCCATTAAAATTACTATGGAAGTCAGAGAACTTCTGGTAAGCATGATGCCTGCCTCCATTGCATGCCTGAACACAGACATTACTTGCTACATTTTGGGCATGTTACCTGACTATGGGGTGCATGCTGGTATCAATGCATGTACCTTCCTCATGCACCCAAGGGCATAGAATGGCATGGTTAGACCTTATGTAAGACAGAAATAAATTGGTTATTACCTTGGCTTCCTCCAAGAGTGGCTAGTCTGAAGACTTCTTTGAGGGTGAGGCTTTTCTCATTTACCTTATTAATTAAAAGGATATTGGAAACCATTACTGCTCTTCTGATTGCATCAAGCATGGAAGATGAATAACCACCAGCAACATCTATGGAGAATAAGAAAAAGTCAGAACCGTAACATTCTGAGGATACATGGAATATTAGATACACAAAACGGGGTTTTCTTTAATATACTCACAGAAAAAGTATTTTCTATAAACATAGACCAACATTTAAAGGAATTAAAGCCTGCAATTAGAATTGAATGTACATCTATATGAGCTTTCTAGGGTTATAGCAACAAACTTGGTGGCTCCAAACAACAGAAGTTTATTTCTTCACAGCTCTGGAGGCTACAAATACAAAGGTGACAACAAGACTACACCGTTTACAAAGCTCTTAGGGACAATCCTTCCTTGCTTTTTCTAGCTCCTGTGGCTCACAGTGTTTCTTGATTTGGGGCAGCATCACTCCAATCTCTGCCTCTGTCTTTACATGATCATATTCCCTGTGTGTCTCGATGTGTCTCTCCTTTTCTGTCTCTTAGGGCACTCACCACTGGATTTATGCCTCCTCATGTTCAGAATGAGCTCATTTCAAGGTCCTTACTTCAAATACATAAGCAAAGACCTTGATTCCTAATGAGATCACATTCTGAAATTCTGGGTAGACGTATCTTTTGGGGGCCAAAGCTCAACCCATTACAATATCCAAATGGTTAAATAGAGTTAGTAGACTACACTCTTATTTCTGAATATTCCCTGGCAGAACTCTCATGGAAACTGTTCAAATATGATTGCAGAGTTACAAAGATCATTTAGATAACATAATATTTGATTCATTAGTAGCTCATTGCTCCATATACTGAGACGGCAACTTATGGGAAAGTAAAAAGACACTTCTTTATGGAAATTTTTCAGGAACAGCTTTTAGAAGGTACTTTTATATTCTTGAAGATCAGTGCAGTAAGTGAGCAGTACTGATGTGCATAGCTTTATAAGCTGGTTGGTATCAGAACACGAGGAGTGAGATTTTGGGTGATTTAAATAACATCCCTAATCATACTTAAAATTAAATATTACTTTTGACAGTAACAATGTAAAAGGTATTAAATGAGTTTGTATAAATAAATGGCACATAAAAGTTAGCATGTTTTTTTTATAAAAAAAGTATATCCATCGCTAATAAAATACACTTTATATTTCAAAGGATCCTTTTGTCTTTCCTAGGTAGACACTGATAATGGCTAGCAACTAAGTGAATTGCAAAGATCAAAAGTAATAGCTTTTTTAGTAGTAATTCTAGGTTACAGCTCAATTTTATGTTCAATTATCTTACATGTCCTTTGATACACTTTTATGGTTTGGCTTTTTTTTAGATTACGTATATTTTTTAACCAGAACACTGTTACCAGAGGATTATCTAGTTCCCTGAAGAATTTTATTACTTCTACTTAAGTTTTGTTGTTGTTGCTAAGTGTTGTCAAGTTGGTTCCAACTCACAGCAACTCTGGATATGGTTTCCAAGGAGCCACTATGGGTTTGAATTGCTGACCTTGTGGTTAGCAGCTCAGTGCGCATCCTACTCTGCCACACCAGGCAGTAAAGCTGGTCCCTGGCTCATGGCAATCCCATACATAATGGAACAAGACACTGTCTGGTCCTATGCCAACCCCATGATTGGGTGCAGATTTGACTGTTGTGATCCACCGGGTTTTCAGTGATTGAGTTTTGGAAGTAGATCCTCAGGCCTTTCATCCTATTCTGCCTTAAATGTGGAAGCTCTGCAGAAACCGGTTCAGTATCATAACAACAATGCCAGCCTCCCATTAGAGACAGGAGATACATTGGCCAGAAACTGAACCTGGGTCTCCCCCGCATGGAAGGTAAGAATTCTACTACTGACCCACCCCCAACTCTCTATTAAATCTTATTTAACATAACATCAAAGCAAGGAAAACAAATAAGGTTTAGGTTTAATGTATAATAAGCTTTAAAATATGTTGTCTGGTACTTTTTTCTTTATTGCTAGAGTAAATAAAATGTTAGGTTATGATGGCAAATAATATCAATATATGGTATGGAAACACATAAAAGCTAAGTGTATATTTATGGATAAATACTGGAAGGGAACAAAGAAAACAAAAGCAATACAGTTAGGATGCTATCATTATGGAAAATTTAAATGTTTGCATTTATTTAAAATTCATAGAAAGGAGTGTTTTCCTCAGTACCCTATCAAAATTATCCATCAGGAAATGCCTCTATGAAGTTTATTAATAATATTTTTAGAGATGCTTTATTATGCTGTTGAGTGCTGGTGTGATGCTGGGGGATAAAATACTAGACTGCAAGGCGGATTTAACCCACAAGATTGGCGGTTCAAACACACCAGCTGCTCCTTGGAAACCTTACACAGGGCTGCTGTGAGTCGGAACGGACTCAACCGTACTAAAAACAACATCATATTCTTCTAGCTGCCTATGTTGTATAATGAAATAAATGCCAAAAGTTCAATGTAATGGTCAAAGAACAAACCTTGGGTAACACAACTAAGGTTATTAACTGTTGTTAAGTGCCGTTGAGTCGGTGCCAACCCACAGTGACCCTGTATAGGCTTTCTGAGAGCAGCCGGTGAGCCTGAACTATCAATCTTGCAGTTCAAATGACTCTGTAGTCTGGTGCATTAACCCACAGCGCCACACTAGATAGTCAGGACTATTTGTATGAGTCGTGGGGTGGCGCATAGGATAAGCACCAGACCGCAAGGTCGGTATGAACCACAAGGTCATCAGTTCAGACTCACCAGCAGCTCATTGAAAACCCTATGAGTTGCTATAAGTCGGAGCTGACTCAAGAGCACACAACAACAACTGGGAGTAATGGAGTCCTGGTACATTGCTGTAGGATAAGCACTGGACTGCTAACCACAAAATTAGCAGTTCAAACCACACAATAACAGAGGTACTGGTGGTGCAGTGGTAAAACTCTTAGATGTTAACCCAAATTAGTGATTTGAATCTAGCAGGTGCTCCCTGGGAAAAATATGTGGCCCTCTGCTTCTATAAAGATTGTTGTTGTTGTTAAATGCCATTGAGTTGGTTCCAACTCATAACAAGCCAGTAATAGGGTTTCTGAGGACTGTCTGGTGGTATAAACTACCTTGCAGTTTATACCAACCTTGTGGTCAAGTGTTTATCCTACAGCGCCACACCAGGACTCACTTAGAAGGATTGTTGTTCTTGTCATTGTATGTGCCATGGAGTCAGTTCCGACTCATAGCCACCCTGCACAGCGTCTCTGAGGCTGTAAATCTTTAGCAGAAAGCTTCATCTTTGTCCCGCGGAACAGCTGGTAGTTTTGAACTGCTGACCTTGTGGCTCGCAGCCTGATAGCTTGATACGTAACCACTACGCTACCAGAGCTCCTTAGAAAGATGAGAGTCCTGGAAACCGTGTGTGGCAGCTCTACTCTGTCTGACAGGATCTCTATCAGTTAGAATCTACTCAATGGTAATGGGCTTGACTTTTTTTTGTTTCCTTGTTTGCTTTTTAAGAGGCAGTGTGTTGAGCTGGAAAGGGAGATAATGAACTTCAACATTTTATAGACCAAATTTTAATTCCATCACTCATCTGTCAGTTTGTGGTACTGTAGTGGCTTGTGTGTTGCTGTGATTCTGGAAGCTATGCCACCAGTATTTTAAATATCAGCAGGGTCAACCATGGTGGACAGGTTTAAGATGAGCTTCCAGATGAAGACAGACTAGAAAGAAGGAGAAATGGACTACTTCTGAATATTTGGTTACTAAAAATATTTGGTTACCTTATGAATCACAGTGGAACACTGTCAGATAGCACCAGAATAAGAGGAAGAGCACCAGAATATTGTCAGACAAAGCGCCAGAAGATGAGACCTCCAAGATGGAAGGCACTCAAAATGTGATTAGGGAAGAAGTGCCTCCTCAGAGCAGACTTGACCATGATGGTGTAAATGGAGTAAAGTCTTTGGGACCTTTATTTGTTGATGGGGCACAACTCAAAATAAAGAGAAATAGCCATAAACATCCATTAATAATTGGGACATGGAATGTACAAATTATGAATCTAGGAAAACTGGAAATCCTCAAAAATGAAATGGAACACATAAACATTGATATACTAAGCATTAGTGAGTTGAAATGGATGGGTACTGGTCATTTTGAATCTGACAATCACAAATTGACGAGGAATGGCATCTCATTCATCATCAAAAGGAGTATATCAAGATCTATCTTGAAGTACAACACTGTCTGTGATAAAACAATATCCATACAACTACAAGGAAGACCAACTCATTGGCACTTAACGACAAGAACAAACAAGGAAGACCAGTTAGTACCACTATTATTCAAATTTATGTACCAATCACTAAAGCCAGTGATGATGAAATTGAAGAATTCTATCAACTTCTTCAGTCTGAAATTAATCAAACATACAATCAAGATGTATTGATAGTGACTGGTGATTGGAATGCAAAGGTTGGAAGCAAACAGGAAGGATCAGTAGTTGGAAAATATTGCCTTGGTAATAGAAATGATGCTGGAGATCACATGATAGAATTTTGAAAGACCAATGACTTTATTGCAAATACCTTTTTTAAACAACATAAAAGATGACTATAAACATGGACCTCACCAGAAGGAATACACAGAAATCAAATTGACTACATCTGTGGAAAGATATAGTGGAAAAGCTCCATATCATCAGTCAAAACAAGGCCAGGAGCAGACTGTGGATTTACTCATATGCAAATTCAGGCTGAAGCTGAAGAAAATTAAAACAAGTCCACGAGAGCCAAAATATGACCTTGAACATATCCCATTTGAATTTAGCAATCTAAATAACAAATTTGATGCATTAGACACTGCTGACCAAATACCAAAACAACTGTGGGATGACATTAAGAAGATCACACAAGAAGAAAGCCAAAGATCAGTAAGAAGACAAGAAAGAAGGAAAAGACCAAAATGGATGTCAAAAAAGACTCTGATGAAACTTGCTCTCCAGCGTAGAGATGAGAAAGCAAATGGAAGAAACGAGGAGGTAAAAGAGCTAAATAAAAAATATCATAGAGCAGCTCAAGGAGATGAAGACAAATATTATAACAAAATGTGCAAAGAACTGGAGTTAGAAAACCAAAAGGGAAAAACACGCTTGGCATTTCTCAACCTGAGGGAACTGAAGGAAAAAACACAAACCTCAACTTGAAATACTGAAGGACTCTATGGGCAAAATGGAGTCCTGGTGTGGCGCTGTTGGTTAATGCATCAGACTGCAAAGCCATTTGAACTGCAAGGTTGGAGGTTCAAGCTCACCAGCTGCTGCTCGGAAACCCTATACAGGGTCGTTATGGGTCAGAACCAACTCGACAGCACTTTACAAAAAAAAAAAGAGTAAACTATTGAATGTTACAGAAAACATCAAAAGAAGATGGAAGGAACACACAGAGTCACTGTATCACAAAAGAAATGGTTGATGTTCAACCATTTATGGGTAGCACATGATCAAGAGCCAATGATACTGAAAGAAGAAGTCCAAGGTGCATTGAAGGCATTGGCAAAGCACAAACCTCTAGGAATTGATGGAATACAAATTGAAATCTTTGAACATACTGATGCAGCATTGTAGGCATTCACTTATCTGTGCCAATAAATTTAGAAAACAACTACCTGACCAACTTACTTGAAAAGATCCATATTTGTACCTATTCTAAAGAGACGTGACCCAATGGAATGCAGAAGTCATTGGACAACATTATTAATATCTCATACAAGTAAATTTTTGCTAAAGATAATACAAACATGGCTGCAAATGTACACTGACAGAGAACTTCCAGAGGTTCAAGCCGGATTCAGATGAGGCTTTGGAACATGGGATATCATTTCTGATATCAGATAGATCTTAGCTGAAAGCAGAGAATACCAGAAAGATATTTACCTGTGCTTTATTGACTATGCAAAGGCTTTCAATTATGTGAAAATGACAAGTCACAGACAACATTGTGGAGAATGAGTATCCAGGAACACTTAATTGTGTTCATGAGGATTCTGTATATAAATCAAGAGGCAGTTGTTTGAACAGAACAAGGGAATACTGAATGGTTTAAAATTAGAAAAGATGTGTCCCAGAGTTGTGTTCTTTGACCATTCTTATTCAATCTGTATGCTGAGCACATAATCTGAGAAGCTGGATTATATGAGGGAAAATGTGGCATCAGGATTGGCAGAACACTCATCAACAATCTGTGATATGCAGATGATACAATCTTGCTTGCTTAAAGTGAAGAGAACGTAAAATACTGATGATCAACGACGGCAGCTTTCAGTATGGGTTGAATCTCAGTGTAAAGAAGACAAACATTCTCACCACTGGACCAATAAACAACATCCATATAAATGGAGAAATGGCTGCAATTGTCAAAGACTTCATTTTGCTTGGATCAACCATCAACACTCATGAAGCAGTAGTCAAGAAATTAAATGATGCATTGCACTGGCAAGTCTGTTTAAAGACCTCTTTAAAGTGTTCATGAGGAAAGATATCAGTTTGAGGACTTAGGAAAGATATCAGTTTGAGATATCAGTTTGAGGACTGGCCCAAGTCATGGTATTTCCAGTAACCCCATGTGCCTGTGAAATGTGGACAGTGAATAAGGAAGACCATAGAAGAAATCATTTGATGCATTTGAGGTATGGTGTTGGAGGAGAATATTGTAAGTACTATGGACTGCCAAAAGAACAAACTAATCTGTGTTGGAAGATGCATAGTCAGAATCCTCCTTGGAATCCAGGGTGGCCAGACTTCATCTGTCATATTTCAGACATATGGTCAGGAGGGACCACTTCCTGGAGAATCACATCACATTTAGTGAAGTGGAGAAAAAGAGGAAGACCCTCCCACAACCAGATGGATTGGCAGAGTGGCATCAGCAATGGGCTCAAATGTAGCAACGATTGTAAGGTTAGCGCAGGACTGGGCAGTGTTTTGTTTGTTGTGCATAGGGTTGCTATGAGTCAGTACTGGCTCAATGGCACCTATCAAGAACAACAACGCCAGTCACTCTACAGCCCTGACACCTTACCCCTTTGGACCTCTTTTTGTCCTCCAAACTTAAAGAACCCTTAAAATAAATAGTATCTGAGTCCTTTGAGGATGCCCAAACTGCTGTTTTGATGTGGTATCAATTGAAGGAGCAGAATTCTTTAGAGCAATGGTTAGAGATGGCAACATCACCTCCAGATGTATTTAGACATAGATGGAGGATACATTGAGAAACAATAGCTACACACTTTGATATTTTTGTTTAATAAAGGTTCCTATGATTTTGTAGCTATGCTTTGAGACTTAGCTTTGTGTATTATTATACACATACAGCATGTACATCTTTGTGTATCTTACTGATGAACCACTTCGTATGAAAGACCTCATGGGTACAAACTGAGGCTTGAGTTATTGCAGAAAAGGAGGTAAGGCACAATTGTGAACATCGTATGCTCTTGAACATGAGGAAGACAAATGCATTAGAAATGGTAAATGACTCCTTGTATCCCCACACCTCTTTTTGGTCCCATTTCAGTCATAGTCATACACAGTAATAAAGAAAGGTTCGTGGAAGATACTGAGACACTTGGGCCTGACTCATGCATCTGAAGTGAGCAGCAGCAGCAGGAAAAAAAAAAAACAAAAAAACCCCTGAAAATGTAATTCTGTGTAAAGAAGGAAATATGGCTACTTCATCAGCCACCTAGAACATCCTTCAATCTCATAAACAACCAGCTTGCCCGTGGGAATGGAGGCATTTTGCTAATAAACACTGCTAAAAAGCCAAAAGAAAGCAAGTTCTCACCAGATTGCTCAGTGTTCTCAAGGGCTGACATGGATTGAATTTGTGCTCACTAGGGGCAAAATCACGTAACTTTGAATTTTTTTTTTTGGTGGGGGGGGGCAGTGTGTGTGTGTTACATAGTTCTTGAAAAACACAAACATGCAAATCCAAACTATTAAAACGTAGCCAGAATGACAATAGAAAGAGAAAAAAGGAAAAGAAAAAAAAAATCGACGTTTTGAAAGACTCTTTGAAGTACTTTAGAAGGAAGTATCCTTGTAGGCCTGGTGTGGCGCTGTGAGTTAGTGTGCTAGACTGCAAAGCCATTTGAACTACAAGGTCTGTGGTTCAAGCTCACCAGTTGTTCCTTGAAAACCCTATACAGGGTTGCTATGGGGCGGAACTGACTAGATGGCGCTTAACAACAACAACAACATCCTTGTAGGCCAATCTCTGAACAGCCAACAGAAGTAGTGGCCTTCAGGAGGTTATAAATCAATGAAACTAGCGGCCATCAAGTCAATTCAGATTTGTGGAGACTCCAGTAGGGTACAATTGTGCTCCAGTGAGGTTTTTAATGGCCAATTGTTTGGAAGTAGATCACTTGGCCTTTCTGCTGAGGTACCTGTGGGTGGGATTCAGACTGCCACTCTTTCTGCTCGCAGCCAAGGCCTGAACCATTTGCACTACCCAGAAAGACTTCAGGAATTTATAATCATCATAGCGTCTCCCTTTGCATGCATTTCTGTTATACTTCCAACTTTACCATTTTTTTTGCCTCAAGGAATTACAATGAATAGCGAAGTAGATTTTTTTTTTTTTAATACAAAAGAAGTGTTACCCAAAAATCAGTCATGTTAGAAAGCTGTGAACTGGATCAACCACTTTGCCATGCTACAAATGGTGAACTACTATACTAACCTGTACCCAGTCCTATCTTCACTTCATGTTTCAGAACTTCTAGCACATTTAGAAATCCACTGCTTAGCCTGAGGAGAGATGACATAGTCAGAAGAAGGAGACCCATGTGGTGCCAACAAAACTGGGGCACTAATATTAATGATGGTGAGCTCATGCAAAGTTGCATGTCTTATGAGTCCTAATGCGGATACAAACACATTAGTCAAATTACGGCATTCAAGTCTTGGAGTAAAAAACAAAACAAAAAATGTGCTTGGATACTTTGGCCACATCCTATCTACACCTTTCAGAACATAAAGCAGCAAGAGACAGAAGGGAAATCAAGGGACTACTTATAAGGAACAATAGAGAAATTAAACATAATTATCACAAGTCTTACCAGTCCTTAATGTACTTGGAACTTGTCTTTAATATGCTTTTAACTAACCTATCCTATGTTGTTGTGAAGTGCCATGGAGTTGATATTGACACATAATAATTATCCAATATAGATAGGATTTCCAAGGAGCAGCTGGTAGGCTTGAACTGCCAACCTTGCGGTTCATAATCCAGTGCTTATCCTATGGCAGAAGCAAAAAAGTGTAAACCACTGCCTTTTCTCTATATTTGGAATAATTTGCTACTGAATGAGTAGTGACTTGCAAACTCAAAGAAAGGTGGAAAGGTGGGGCCACAACTAGAAAAGGAATACAGGCTACTGAATCAAATACTGTTTCTGAGGATAGTAGTCACCAAGAGAAAATCAATTCTGGGCAGAATTCTGGACCTCCTGGACCAGATGTCATAGATGTGCTGCCTTTCTGAAGAGACATAGGAAATTGTAAGCAATCTTTGTAGGCCTGAGAAGATGTGTAGGTCAAAGTCATCTTCTTAAAGATGTACATACTTGTAACTTCCAAAGCCCCAGTGCAACACATCTTTCAAGGTTGTTGGAGAAAGAGTAGTGGTGACCATTAAAACCAGGAAACAGTTTTGCAAAATTTAATGTCACCTCAATTTGCAAAGCTGGACCATGTTTTAATGCATAAGATGGGCAATTTACTCATGAGATGTTAAATCCTTCCAGTACCTGGTCACTAGACTATAATTATTGTCACTAAGCTTGATTGCCTGTCATGCGTGAAACCTAAGAGTTTCTGCAGGCTTTCAAAGCACTCCACAAAACACTGCTGATGTTCTTCCCATACTTCCATTGACATACTCCTTTTCCATTTATCAAGGTTCCTCGACCTCCAACTGCCAGCAACTCCAACTCATTGCCTGAGGTCTCTCTGAATGCTAGGGACTTCTCAGTCCTTGCTTGGGGAAGATTGGCAATGCCAGGGAATTAGTGCCTGAAACTTCAACCCAGCAGCCCTCCACCTATGCCTGTTGAATATTAGGTATAAATACCCCCCCCCCATTGTTGTGAAGTGCCGAGTCGATTCTGACCCATAGTGACCCTGTATAGGGTTTCCGAGGAGCAGCGGTTGAGTTTGAACCGCCGACCTTGCAGTTCAAGCGGCTTTGCAGTCTGGCACATTAACCCACAGCACCACATCAGTATGATTTGGATGCTTGTTTTATGCACTGGCTCACTGAGTCTTCTAGACGGACTATAACCCAAGGGCTTGATGATTCACTCTAACCTCCCCTTCACTGTCTCACCCCTTACAGGTGCTTCCTGAGAGCATCTCTCAAATTATCTACTTCCACAGAAATCTTCAGCTCACAGTCTGCTTCTGAAAGAACCCAAATCCAGAGAGGATACAATGTGACCCTCAAAAATCCCTAAATCTAGCAGAAGTTAATCACTTTGTTGAATGGATTAATGATTGATTCATTCCACCCAGTCACTAGGGAGATAAAACTTTCTTCTGGGTCTATTAGTACCAGAAATGATAGACATTTTCTCTAAGTCTGGAGCATGGGTCCTTTAGCTTAGCATTCATGGATCAGCTTCATGAATTCCACGACTCAGGAAGTAAGATACAAAATTTTTATATTCTGAAGAGACAGATCATAATTTTTATCTGATATACTTATGGATCTATAACGCTGCAAAAGGTTAAGACTTAGGTACCAATAAAGCTTTTGCAATGTAGAAGTTGCAATAGGACAAGGTTCCTATGTGAACTGACATGCTGTCAGATACAGCAGCAGCATGACACACATACTAGGACACTGGCTTCCAGTGGCATTGCTCCTCTGCCTGGCACCACACACAAACAGTAAGGGGAAGTCAGCACCCTTTCCCAGGAACATCTGGCTAGAATACACATCATTTCAGTCTTCAGCTATAAATTCTGAATGCCAATGGTTTTGAACTCTTACTATTATATTTCCTATTGCTCTGCTTTGTTCAAACTTTGAAATTTTAGGAGACATGGTGCTCCTCCAAATACAGTCTCTGAAAAAATGTCATTTTTAAATGTTCTCTTTGTCTTCACCACTATCCAGGTAAGCATCAATCCATCTAGTTTCTATTTCAGTTAAACATTAACTACTAGGGATCTTCAAAAAGTTCGGGAAAATTACATTATCTTTTCATTCAATTGTTCTATGAACTTTTTGAAGCCTCCCTCATATAGAAGAGAGATTCTGGAAGAAGGATTGCAAAAGTTAAGGGCATTTGGAGGCTAATTTGCAATCCAGATTTTCAAAATCCAACCAACAATATTACTGCCTACTTACGATAAATTAGAATTGGGACAATGTGAGATTGAGGCTCCTCGTTCATTGAATATCTTAAGTTCTTCCGCAGAGAGGTAGCAGCCATGCGCCATCACTGTCTGGACGGAGAAAAGTGTATACAAATGTGCAGTTTACCACTTAGAAACGTTTAAGGTTTGTACTCACTCCCAGCAAGATACTACAGATACAGATGGGAACTGTGACTTGGCTGTTAAACGTCTTTACATGAACATTCATGATGATCTATATGCAAAAAATTACTACCTACAAGTGATTTTATACTTCACAAAAGGCCTATAAAAACATTTTATTACAAAAGCTATCAGCAAATTTGTAGATCTTACCTTTTTTTCATTTCCCTTTTATTTTTACGATCTAAAGGGTTGGTTATCCATCCAGTCTGAAAATGCTATGATTCTATCATCTCCACTTTAGACAACAGCCAAGTTGCTTTCTTTCTTATGTCTACATGGTGAGCTATTGGTAGACTGTTTTTGTTTCTTTCCAACACAAGAGTTTTAGAAAGAAAACTCTGACTTCTCAGCACAGGGAGGCACACCTCCCTGCCTCCCATATTAATCTTAGTTTTAATTCAGGCTCGAATGATTTTGACACAGCCAAATGACCTTAGTTGTGGCTTTGAAGTGCTGTCAAGTTGGTTCCTACTCATAGAGACCCAGTATAGGGTTTCCAAGAAGGGTCTGGTGAGTTTGACCCATCAAACTTGTTCAAACTGAACTTGCAGTCCTGTGCTTATCCTGCAGTGTCACACCAGGACTCCAAAATGACCTTTAATTCACCTATAGTTAAATTTCCATAAAAATTTAAATACATAATATTTACACAGTTCAATTCAAAAGGTAAACGAATCCAAAAAAGCAGGCAGTGAATATTTTTGAAACGTTTTATTTTTTGGCCTCGTGTTTTTGTTTGTGGGTTTTCTTGAATAAACTTTTATCTTCCAAAATTCCTTTTTTCTCAGTATAAAACCTGTATCTACATAGCTTTCCCCTTTGGGAGGCATGGTTCAGTGACCACAGAATTATTATTAAACTAAAATATTCTCAACCTGTGTGCAACTAAAATTAACATGCAAATTGGAGGTTAATTTATTAATCACATGGAAATATATGTAAAGGAGTATGAAAATTATGATGTAGCATTTAATATGATTTATGCAGAGTATTAACTTTTCATATCAGTTATAGTCAGCTCTCCATTTACATAATCACCTAAAAATAACTCACTGCAATTGTAGTAAGACTCTCCTTAACATTGTATACTTTCTACAAGGCTAAAGAAAACACATAAAAGGTTACAATAAAGTCTCGATATGTTTTAGTTTTAATTACTTTAAATTATTTAATTACAGAAACAACATATATTCATTTAAAAAAAAAAAGAGCAATGTCAGAGTGTTTATGTATAAAAAGCAAAAAAGTCATCATTCAACTTTCTTCCCCAGGAAGAGTCAGTTACAACATTCCCAGACCGTTGTTTTCTAAGTGGGCGTCGCATATGCATGTTTATGTTACACATATAATGTGCAGACATTCTTCCTGATAAGACTGCACATCTAAGTCTTTCTGTTTGTTTGGTAAACTTTTAAATTACGTTGTTATTGTTGCTGTGGAGTTGGTTCTGACTCATGGCAACTCAAGTATGCCAGAGAAGAACTGCTCTGTAGGGTTTTCAAGGGTATGCCTTTTTAGAAGCAGATGGTTAGCCCTGTCTTCTGAGGAACTTTTTTTTTATCAGGAGAAGGTTTCAAACATCTAACCTTTTGGCTAGTAGTTGAGTCCTTAACTATTTGGACTACTGAGGGACTCTTACTCTAAATTATAAACATTCTACACTTTAGCTAGTCCTCCACTGACAAATTTTTTTACTTTTATATTTAGTTATAGTGGTTACGAATCGGGCTGCTAACCTCAAGGTCGGCAGTATGAAACTACCAGTCTGCGGGAGAAAGGTGAGGCGTTCTGCTCCCTTTAAGATTTGCAGCCTTGGAAACCCTATGCAGGGTCACTGTGAGTCAGAACCGAGTCAGAACCGACTCCACAGTACTTAACAACAACAACATCCATGTAATAAGCCTTGTCGAGACAGGTGTAAGCACTCAGCTGTTAACCAAAAGGTCAGTGGTTTAAATTCACCAGCTGATCTGTGGGAGAAATATGTGTCTTTTCTAAAGATTACATATAGCCTTGGAAACCCTATGTAAGGTCATTGAGTTGGAACTGACTTGAGGGTAATAAGTTTGGGGTGGTTTTTTTGGTTTTAATATCATTGTAGTCTTTACAGGATGGAACTCAAGAAAGAAATATACATTTAAATTTTAATGGATACTGAGGAAACCACTAAAATTACAATAGAATACCTTTTAAAAATTCAAATGGAACTAGCAAAATGCCCTTGGATCACAATCAATCCTTACCCTCAATGAAGTCTTTCGATTCCTTTGTTGCTCTTGCTATTGTATTTTGAGTTGGTTCCAACTCATAGTGACCCTGCACAGGGTTTCCAAGGCTTTAAATCTTTGCAGGAGCAGAAAGTACCCCGGCCCATTTTTAAAAAGCCAATTAACCTTGAGTTTTACTCCAGTTTGCAAAAGATACATGTTACAGAAGTCTGAAGTTTACTACTATGATTTTAAGATCTAACCAAACCTATTTATATAAATAATATCATACAATTTACCTTATTTGTCAGAAGATTATTCTTATCATACACATCTGTGTAGTTTTTATAACTGGGATATAAGTTTTTCACAGCTTCAACTTCATCACGATTTTCGCTTATGTGGCTCTATAAGAAAAATGATATTTTCAATTTCTTTTAAAATACCATTAGAAATTATAGATCCTCCCCCACAAATGGTGTGAACGGTTTCTATTAGCCTATGTGAGGGACCATGGGCAAAGATAATGGAGGATAGCTATGTAATTTTATTTAAAATAATTATATGGATCCTATATATACACAAAGGAGTCCTGGTGTCCTGGTGTGGCACTGTAGGATAAGCACTATACTGCTAACCACAAGGTTTGTGGTTCAAACCCACCAGTCACTCCTCAAAAACCCTACACAGGGATGCTGTGAGTTAGAACTCATGTGGCAGCACATAACAACAACAACATATATACAAAATGGATATGTGTGTGTGTACATATATTTTTGTTGTTGTTAAGTACCTTCAAGTCGATTCCAACCCATAGCAATCCTGTAGAGGGTTTCCAAGGAGCAGCTGGTGAGCTTGAACCACTTATCTCTGCAGTTCCAACAACTTTGCAGTCTGACGCATTAGCCCACAGCGCCATACCAGGACTCCGTGTATACATAGAGGCTTCAAAAAGTTTGTGGAAAAAATCCCATTCTTTTCATTCCATTTTGCCACGAACTTTTTGAAGGCCCCTTGTAGATGCTGTTGTAAGTGCCATCAAGATGGTTCTGACTCACAGTAACCCTGTATAAAGTTTTTGAGGCGCAGATGGTGGGTTTGAATCACCAACCTTGTAGTTAGCAGTCCAATGCTTACCCTACAGTACCACACCATGACCCTCTGTTGTTAAGTGCCTTCAAGTAGGTTCCAATCCATAGCGACCCTGTATAGGATTTCTGAGGAGCTGGTGGGTTTGAACTGTCGACCATTTGATTAGCAGGTCGGCGAAAAGCCTACAACACCACACAAGGACTCTACCAAATAACCTGAAGGGCATAAAGCACTTTTTGTGTTTTGAAATACAAAACTTAAGTGTAACCACCCCAACCACAGATCTATAATACAAATTACATCAGGCCAATCAGTTATATATTATGAGAAATAAATCACACGTAAATTATCACTGGAAGAATAGCAAAGCTGTTTCTCTCCACATGCAGGAGAGTATGCATGTCCAAAAAAAGGCAGTGTTTCCCAAACAGGTATTCTCCATGCCATAAGTATCAGAGAAGAAGAAAGGACAACCAGAACAGTGTTCACGTCATTGTAACAGTTGAGGAAGCCCACAAACTCCATCAGTAAGGATGGGCTTGATTCTGTTATGCATCTTTTTCTTTTCAGATGCATTTTAATATTATTTTCATGCTATTTTTTAAAGAGCAGAAACACTCTATTTTCAAAGTAGAAAATTCATATAAGCTCTGAGTTCCATTTCCATGAAATAATTGTGTGGAATAAACAATTCATATATCACAGATCACAAAATAGGAAAAGATGAGACTAGTTAGTGGGCTCTAAGAATATACAATTTTAACAAAAAACCAACTACAAAATGGTTAAGAATCTCTATGTTGCTTTTTCCCACTTGCCCTTTCTTATAAGATAGTCAAATAACTCTTAAGAGAAGAAATTTTAGTACAGTATGTAATTAAGCTTGGATGGGGGGAAGGGGAGCTCCCAATTTTAACCCAGCTGTGAGCTTTAAAAAGTGTTTTATTCTTAAATTGCAACAACTTAATGACAAAGTACGACAGACTTTTTGTTCCTGATTTTAAATTAAGAAACTTGGAACAAAGACTTTTTAAGTGCATTTTTTTGGGTACGATAGAAATTAGGTTCTTTTGGCTTTTCAAATAAAAGTTGGTTTCTCCCAAAATGATGATATAGAATATGGAGAGAGAAAAAGGCAGAAAGAAATATCTTAACTGTACTCTACAGAGAACAGGTAAAACAATCTATCATTGGTCTTGCTCAGTGATTTATGTACATGTCCTTGTCTCTCAAAGGATTACCAAAGGAAGACTGAGGATATATGGCACTTCAAGTGTCTTATCTGAGAAATTAAAGAACTAGCTTAGGATGGACTTTGTAGGGTCCTTCTGTCTTGTAATGTTACAACTCTGTGAGACTTTAGTAGAGGAACTGGAGGTTAAGGCCAGCAGTTTGGATACAGCGATGTCCTGCAGATCTGATTAGAGAAACAAACAAAAGAAAAATACCCACCTGAATATGCAAATCACGTGTCTTGGCGATGTTGCCAAGTTCACCCATCAAAGCCTCAGAGCAGGAAAGGGTAAAACGTGGCGTCACAATGGGCTTCACTCTCAAATACTGGGAAGAATTTAAAAAATGATAAGAAAACTATGAATATCATGAATGAGTATGTTACCAAAATGCATGTTATACATAAAGATGATTGATGTCTTCATTTTGGGGCGGGGGGAGTTGATAAAAGTATTGGATTATGTGGAAATAAAGGAGCTCTGGTAGCGTAGTAGTTACGAATCAGGCTGCGAACCTCATGGTCAGCAGTTTAAAACTACCAGCTGTTCTGTGGGCGAAAGATGAGGTTTTCTGCTCCTGTAAAGATTTACAGCCTTGGAAACCCTATACAGGTTCGCTATGAGTCGGAACCGACTCCACGGCACATCACAACAACAACATGTGGAAATAGTGCATGGAGTCAACTTTGACTTGTGAAGACCTCATGTGTTTGAAGAAAAGTATGTTTCTTGGCACCAAGTTCAATGGGAAAGGGGCCTGAAAAGCATTCCCCTCTACTACATCCATATTAAGGCTCAGAAACACGTAGACAGGGTGAACTTTATGAAGAACAGTGGCAGAAGGAAAAGTTTGGAAGCAGAGCCTTGGGGAGATTAAAGGTGAGGTAGCGGTCCATTGTCTTTTTTGCATCTATGGAATTGTACAGGTTACAGCCTCCCTGACATGATTCAGTTACTGCTGTCAGGCCAGGAGGAAAACCCACAGCATGCGGTAAAGATAAAGCTCCGCCTATATCGCCCATGGATAGAGAGAAAGAAATTACACAGTTTCCTATGGTTTCTAATCAGACCTCCAAAAGAGAAGAAGGAAGGTCTCACTTGCCAATATGAGATTACCCAGTGGAGCCAATGGCGAGTCAGCTGGGGGTGGGGGCAGAAATAGTACTGTCTCCTTTGCATCCCCAACTCCAGGGTGCTGCAAAGGAGGGCTGCAAAACTGCATCCTACTGAGCATGTGACTGCCACAATCACATGGACTAAGGCAGTTAGTGGTCAAAGCATAGCAGCTAGACACTACCTGGGCTTCATTTCAGACCAGTCAAGGAGATATCAGCGGTCAGAGCCAATGTTGATGTAATCACCAAACAGGCTAACAATTTCCAGTTCTCGCCAACCTGCTTCCCATAAAGTACTTCTAATGAAATTTGAAGGACCCTACATTAGGAGGGTCCTTCTAATACCAGTCACTAGAGAAGGATATCATGTTTGGTAAGGTGGAGGGTCAGAGAAAAAGAGGAAGACCCCCAACGAGATGGATTGGCCAAGTGGCAGCATTGATGGACTCAAGCATGGCAGCATTGATGGACTCAAGCATGGCAATAATAGTGAGGTTGGCCCAGGATCGGGCAGTGTTTCGTTCTCCTGTGCATAAGGTCGCTATGAGTTGGTACTGACTCCGTGGCACCTAACAACAACAAACACTAGGAGGGGGCACAGCAAATGCAAAAGCTTCCTTGAGATCCTCACCGGGGCAGTGACTAAGATGTTCACCCCTTAGCTCAACTAAAAGCTTAGCACCCTGGAGCCACCTGATTAAATAAATCTTCTACTCCCTCTGCATGTAAACAAGGCGATTTGGAGCCTAGAACAGTGCTGAGAATAAAGCAAACTTCATGCTTGCCCCTATTGGACAGTGCTGGCTATTGTGTTCATTGCCTTTGAGTCAGCTCTGATTCATGGGGACGTTTTGTACGACAACAAAATGTGACATCTTCATGGTTGTTGGAAAGTTTGAGTCCATAATTGTGCCTATTAAACCAACCCATCTCATTAAGGGTTTCCTTCACTTCTGATGATTCTCTACCTTGTTGTTGTTATGTGCCGTGAAGTCGGTTCTGACCCACAGCTACGCTGTACAGGGTTTCCGAGGCTGTAAATCTTTACGGGAGCAGAGAGCCTCATCGTTGTCCTGCGGAACAACTAGTAGTTTTGAACTACTGACCTTGAGGTTTGCAGCCCAATTCGTAACCACTATGCTAACAGAGCTCCTTAACTCACTACTTTAAGCCTACCAAAATCAGCCTTGATATCAAAACTGTGTTTAAAACAACAAAGGGTTGGGTGTAGAGCCACAGCAGCCTTCACTGGAAAGCAAAAACTATCTGACCTCACTGACCTGAGTTGATGAAATCTCAGTGAAAATAATTCGCAGTTCTAGGCACATACTTCCTCACACAGAGTATGTCAAACACACACAGACTAATCTCTACCAAACGAAGGAGTACTGAATCCCACAAGTGATGCAAAAGCAATGTAAAAACAAGCTGTTAGCAAGTTTACTTACCTTCTTTTGAAGCATTTCTGATATAAATCTGAAATAAATCAACAAATGGAAGTTAGGAAATCTGGGAATTTTCAAATACATTTTAAAAGGATGAAAACATGATCCTTGCATGTACAAATTTCCATGCAAACAAGTCTAACACTGTATGTTTTTCACCATCTCTCATTAAAGTTTAACAAGTGGTAATTACTATCTCATTGGCAACCTAGGAGAGGGAGTACAAAATCAGGAAGAAATTTAACTTTCAACAGGGTTGTTAACTGAGTATTCCCAAAGCCTCAAACTGTTAAGCTCTGTTTATCAAATACTTTATGCTCCATGAATATTAAGAGTTGTAGAGTCCTAGGTATTTGGAAGTGTGTAGACTTGAAGGAAGGAGTTCTGTTGGCGCTGAAGGATAAGCACTGGACTGCTAACTTCAAGGTCAGCAGCTTAAACCCACCAGCTGATCTGCAGAAGAAACAAGGCTTTTTGCTCCTAGAAAGATTCACAAGCCCTGTAAACCCAATACCGAGTTGTGGATGGGAAGGTGTTAAAGAACTTCTCTTCTCATTTCTATAAAGCAGAAAGCTAACTCATTCAACAATAGCATAATTTCTTTCCAAGGGTAGAGTCTCACTGGGGACCAAATGTTGGAGGTAAGGTAGAAAGAGTAAGGGAGAAGTGGTTGTGAGACAGAGAACAGGGTGGACATTTGATGAGTTGCACCTGCAGAGAGAGTGGCAATTGTAAACACCTGTTACCTGTGAGTAGTTTTTTTTTTTTTTTTTAAAGATTGGTAGGATTTAATTAATTGCCATGTCTAATAATGGTCCCATTTCTAACACTCAAATCATCAGTGTTACAGAATAAAACTGTCATCTTCCCCTGGCCTCCACAAGATAGGAGCACACAGTGTGCTGTAAAATAGACTCGAAAGTCAGCTTTGTAATCTCAGAAGCACAGTTTGATAGGTTTCTTTTTCCTTACAATTCTTTCTTTCTTAGTCTATTTTTTCTTTCTTCTTTCCTTCTCTCTCTTTTTCTCCTTTCTCTGTCTTCCTCCCTTCTTCCCTTCATTTCTTTCTTTCCTCTTTTTTCAAACAATGTTTTCTGACTCGAAGATGGGTGCAGACTAGGTCATTTTGATTGTGTTCATGCTCCACAGTCCTGGCCATAATCCGATCTACGGCATCAGGCTCCTGAAAGGTCTCATGATCTGGATGTCATGTCATCGCTCACTACTGAGCCTGTTCCATCCAGTTGGAAGCCCTGGTGCTAGGAACATTTCCCAAACAAACTCATTTAACTCTCTTGTAACTGTATGCAAATAACACTTCATGTTTCATGTGAATAACTGAGTCACACTGAGATTAAGTAGTTAATGAAGGCCTTGAGACTCCTGAATTATTGCTGTTAAATGTCTTTGAGTCAGTTCTGATTCATATTGAGGAGGGACTGGTGGGTTTGAACCACCAATCTTTGGGTTAGCAGACTAGTGCTTAGTCAACAGTGCTACACCAGCACTCTGACTCCTAAGTAAAATCCCAAAGGCAAACCCACTACACCAAGGAGTGTCGTATCCACTCCAATTCCAACTCATGGTGACCCCATGTGTATCAGCATAGTCTCCATAGGGTTTCAATGGCTGTATTTTCAAAAGTAGACTATCAGGCCTTTCTTCAAAGGCACCTCAACATAGACATGAACCTCTGACCTTTTGGTTTGCAGCCAAACACATTAATCATTTGTACCACCCCTCCAGAAGCAATTGTAGGGCTTCTGAAGTGGCTACTTATGCTCTGGATGGGAATTTAAAAGCAAACATTAGGAGGGGGCTTCAAAGAGCTCATAGGGAAAAAAAAAAATCCATTATCCTTTTTTTTTAAAAAAAAGAAACGTTTTATTGTGAAATGGGTGATGGTTTACAGGGCATGTTTTACATTCAACCAATCATACATACTAGTTCCACTTAGCGATTGCAGCCCTACCACCACACACACAAATGTAATAACACTTATCCCACTTCCTTCCTGTTTTTTGTTTCTATTCCTCTATCTTTTTCAACCCTTCTGAACTATGTCCTTGGGTGAATGCTGCCCTTTTGATCTCTAATGGTTGTCCATTCTATGGTGTACATACCTCACTATTGCTGGTCCCCCTCCCTATAGACCTATCTACTGCTTGGCCAAGGAACTGAGTTCTGTTCAAGACCTGAAGGGTGACCAAGGGCTACAGTCTCAAGGTTCCACCAGTCTCTCTCCCACCAGTTAACCTGGTCTTTTTAATGATTCTGAGTTTTGTTCCACATTTTCTTCCACTCTATACAGGACCTTCTAATGTGATCCCTTTCAGGGCAGTTGGTAGTGGTAGCTGGGCACAATCTAGTTCTTCTGGTCTCAAGGTCATGGAAACTAATGTTCATATGGTCCATTATCTCATTGGACTAATTTTTTCCATGTTTATTCTATTTTCATCACTCTTCTTTCCTCAGGACAGGGAGACAGCAATAATGCATCATAGGTGGCCACTTACAAGCTTTTAAGACCTCAGTCGCTATTCACTAAAGTAGGATGTAGAACATTATCTTTGCGCACTATGTGTCCCCCATGGTGTCTCCCTATGGTCCTGATCCCCCAGGCCCAGTTACTCATTCCCTCAAGGTGTTTGCTTATGTCTAATAATTTTTCATAACTGTGCCCCCTGTATGCTCCACCACATTCATAGATATATTTGTAGCAAAGATAAATACATATGTACAAATATCCTGTGTCAAGCCTATAGATATTTGTGGATATAGTTCTGTTCTATCTCCCACACACATTAAGTATGCATGTTTATTGATGCATCTACCTGTTCTGTTGTACATAGGGTTGCTATGAGTTGGTACCGACTCAATGGCACCTAACAGATGGCACCTGTTGTTGTTAGGTGCCATTGAGTTGGGACCAACTCATAGAAACCCTCTGTACAACAGAATGAAACACGGCCCAGTCCTGGTACAACCTCACAATTGTTGCCACATTTGAGCCCATTGATGCTGCCACTTTGCCAATTTCATCTCACTGGGGGTCTTCCTCTTTTTCTCTGACCCTCCACCTTACCAAACATGATATTCTTCTCCAGCAACTGGTACCTCCTGACAATATGTCCGAAGTATGAGAGATGAAGTTTGGCCATTACTGTTATTGCAGGATTGTGTATATAACAGTATTTACCTATGCTACCTTTAACTCTTTCACTGCTTCCTGTGTCTTCCCTCACCTCCATCATTTTTGAGGAGTTCTGGTGTGGCACTGTAGGTTAAGCACTGGACTTCTAACTGTTGGCTGTTTAAACCCACCAGCCACTCCTTGAAAGCCTCATATAGGGTCACTATGAATTGGAATCAACTCAACGCCACACCATGACCACTACCTCCTATTCCCTTTAGCCAATGAATCATCCTGCTTCATTCCACCCTTTCTTTACTTTTTATACCATGGTCTCATATAATATTTGTCCTTTTGTGATTGGCTAATTTAATTTCATTCAGCATGATGTCCTCCAGATTCATGAAGTTTTCCACAGATTCACTGTTATTATTTAATAATATTTCATTGTACTTCACTGCGTGTATGTACCAAAGTTTTGTTTACTCATTCTTCTATTAATGGGAATTTAGGCTGTTTCCATAGTTTTGTTTTTAAGAATAGTGCTGTGATGAACATGGGTGCGCATACATCCATTCGTGTCATGGTTCTCATTTCTGTAGGATATATACCAAGAAGAGGAATTTCTGAGTCATATGATATAGGTGCTCTGGTACCGTAGAGGTTATGAATTGGGCTGTGAACCACAAGGTCAGCAGTTCGAAACTACCAGCTGCTCTGCAGAAGAAAGATGAGGCTTTCTGCTCCTGTAAAGATTTACAGCCTTGGAAACCCTGTGCAGGGTCGCTATGGGTAGGAACCGACTGGATGGCACTTAACAACAACAACAATGGTATTTATACTTCCAATTTTTTGAGGAAGCACCATACCTCCATTATCTTTTAATTCTATTTCTCCAGAAACTTTTTGAATCCCCCTTGGATTTAGTTTAAAAATAAAAAATGAATGATTTCTTACTAAACTCTTGTTCAAAGCAGAGTGAACTAGAAAATACAAGTATACCATATTTTTATACAATAGTGCATATGCCACATAGCTTGCTTACAAAAATACTTTGGAGGAAGGTCATGGTTGGCAAAAGTATATCTAACATATTTTATTTGTGTAAAAGTATGATACATGAACATACATTCTACCTTCACATGCCTATTGCCTAAAAAATTTTATAAGGTTATAATCCACATGCCATAAAATCCACCCACTTAAGTGTTCAATTTCATGATTATTATTAAATTTATTGAGTTGTACAATCATAATCTAGTTTTTAGAACTATTTCTTTACTGCAACAAACCCCTTGTGTTCATTTACAATTGATAACCATTCCTACCTGCCCCCACCCTAAAGGCAACCACTAATCAACTTTCTACTGCTCATTTATCTTTTTTAAACATCTCATAGGGAGTTCTGATGGCATAGTGACTAAGTGTTACTATAAATGCAGTCATATGAAGTCTTTTGTGGCTGTTTTTTTTCACTTAGCATAATCCTTCCAAGGTTAATCCATCTCAGAATGTTTTGTGGTTGAATTATACCTATATATTTCATTTTTAAGTGGATATATACTTTTTATTATGGTTCTAATCATAATCTCAATTGGAGTATGTTTTCATTACCTAAGTATTATAAGGGTGTCAAAAATTATCTGCACTCTTATTATATTAAAACACACATCCATGGCTGATGACAACATTGAGTGTGAATGTGAAATGATTGCGTTGAACAGATGAGTGACAAATCACTTGCAAAGTAGCCATGGCTCGGCCTATGAAATAATCCACACCAGACTTGGATTTTGAAAAGTTTGTGTGAGTACCAAAACAACTCATGGAAAAACATAAACAGAAGTGTATGGACATCTGCAAACAACATTTGGACTGATATTCAAAGGAAGGTAAATTTTTCTTTAAAATAATTGTTACTGGTGAGGAGACATGGATTCATCACAACGAGCTTGAGAGTAGGTTACAGAGTATGGATTGGAAGCATTCTCAATCGCTGACCAAGAAAAAGTTCAAAAGCCAACCATCAGCTGGAAAATTGATGCTTACAGTTTTCTGGGACTCTCAAGGACTGGTATTGGAACACTATCAGGAAAAAGTTAAACACACAACAGTGAGATGCTCACTGAGTAGCTGAAGCTGAAACTCGGGATTAAATACAGAGAACTGCCATCTAAGGGCGTTGTGATCTTGTATGGCAATGCACGTCTGGACACCTCTGCCCACACTGTTGACACTATGCAAAAACTTCCTTTTGAGGTGGTAAAGCATCCCGCCTATAGTCCTGATCTTGCTCCATCAAATTTTCACTTGTTTGGTTCCTGAAAGCAGCCCTTCAAGAACAAATGTTCACCTCTGATGAAGTGAAGACAGCAGTGCATGCATGGCTCACAGTTCAGCCTAAACATTTTTTAATAAGGTAATACGAGAGCTTATTAACAGATAGACAAAGTGTATTGAAAAGAAAGGAGATTATGTCCCAAAAATGATGTATGTTTCTTTTCTAAAAGTTGATTAAAATGAATTTTACAGCCCGAGTGTAAATAATTTTTGACTCACTATCATATATAACAAAATGGTTGCAATTTCAACATGTTTTACATATACAATTCAATGACATTAATTCCATTATTCATGTTGTGCAACACCATTATTCTCCATTTCCAAAGTTTTCTCACTGCTCAGTTAAGAGAAGCTTAGTGGCTTACCACAGTTTATTCACTGATGAATACAAACATTTTCATGTTTGTATTTTCATATGTTCATAGGTTTTGCTTTCATACGTTTCATGTGCTTATAGATATAGGTTTGTTTGGAGATACGTTCTCATTTCTCTTGTACGTTCTTTCTCTTTGTAATTCTATTTGCACATTGCATTCTATTCATTAAGGTGGTGGTTTTCCCAAGTAGATTGTCCACTATCTCAGATGAATCCAGAGATGGTCATCTCTCTCTGTGTATTACCAGATGGCATCCTCAGATCTTTACTGCAGATTGCACAGTGGGGCTCTGCTCCCCATGAGTGCATGGATGTGGAGCCATGAACTCAACAACAGCCTTACCTTCTGGATCTCTGGACTTGATCTTGGGAAGATGTTCTTTCAGATCACGTCTTTGAAGAGGAGATATTCTAGTGCCTGCATTAGTATGGTATGGCCATTCCAGCAACTATCTAGAAGAACTTCTCTCTTCTTATAGTATGACAAAATAATGGGGAGGGACCGCATGTGCCTCCTTGAAAAAATACTGAGTGGATAGCTTTAAGCAGATTATAGAGTCCTTTTTATCACGATTATTATTATCCCTTGTACCTTTTTGTTCATATATAAGTTTTATCTGACGTTCTGGTGTGGCACTGTGGGTTAAAACACTGGATCACAAGGTCGGTTTGAACCACAAGGTCCCCAGTTCAAACTGCTCCTTGGAAATCCTATACAGGGTCACTCTGAATAGGAACTGATTTGACAGCACTTAACAACAAGTTTAATTTGGGATGAGCATATAAACTTTTTTAGTAAAAAATTATATATATATATATATTGTTGTTGTTGTTGTTATGTGCCGTGGAGTTGGTTCCGACTCACAGCAACACTATACAGGGTTTCTGAGGCTGCGAATCTTTACTGGAGCAGAAAGGCTCATGTTTCTCCCGTGGAACAGCTGGTAGTTTTGAACTGCTGACCCTGAGGTTAGCAGCCTGATTTGTACCCATTACGCTACCAGAGCTCTATATGCATATATATATTTAATTAGTGAAAGGTCTTTAAGCAATCTCTAATGGTAACAGATTTTTCTTAATTTCTTATCTAATATTTTGCTCCACAAATGATTCCTCACTTTCACATAAGTTGTAAATACACATCACAGCGTATGCTTACTCAGTTGCGCACATACTCTCTCTCTCTCACCTTTTCTATACATTTACATTGAACACAGGGTAGGGATCTATGTCATGGTAGAAAGAATAATGAATTTAGAGTCATTGACACTGGTTTCCAATCCTGGTCCTGCTGCTTAGAAGCTGAGACTCTCTCTGGGCAAGACAATTTTAGCCTGTGTCACACTCAGCTTCCTTATCAAGAAAGACAGATGACTCCATGGAGATTTCTCTGAGCACTAAACATGCCCCTGCAAGGGAAAGCTCTTTATAAATTTTGACCAATGACCAACTGTTGAACAGATTCACCAAAGACTACTTGTCCCATTGCACAAATGGGGCATTCTAAGTCACTTCATGCATGTCTTACACCTGTTCTTGGTTTCCTCTATCCATCACTAACTCCATCCCTGCCGCGGAAGGACCCGCCCACAAGACAAATCAAGACAATTGGGTATCTTACCTCTCAGTTTCTTTGACTGATTCATCAGTAGTTTCCTTGTATTCTGGAACAGTGTTGTTCATATCCATGCACACCTTTCCCACAAATGCTCGCTGCCCAAATTTATCTGTGAAGCACATGCAAGTAAACATTAAATTCCCTATGAAAAACATATGCCAGAATCTAAAAGATTATTCATCAATGTGACATTTAAGAATAGTAAAAATCACCACCAAACTACTACATTTGCTGTTGTCATCAAGTGCCATCAAATCAACTCTGACTCATGGCAAACTTATGTACAAAAGAAAGAAACACTGCCCCATCCTGTGTCATCCTCATGATAATGAGCAAGGTCAAGGCCATTGTTGCAGCTCCTATGCCAATCCATCTCAGCAAGGTTCTGCCTTGTTCTCTCTGGCCCTTTACATCACTGAACATGATGTACTCCTCTAGTACTGATATCTCCTGATGGCAATTCCAAAGCAAGCAAGTTCAACAGTGGTCTGTTGTGATCCAGAAAGATTTTCATTGGCTAATTTTCAGAAGTAAATTACAATCTTTCTTCCAATCTTATTCCACAAGTGCACTGAATGAAGCCTGTCCACCATCGATGACCTTACTGAAATTTGAAATATCAATGGCATAGCTTTCAGCATCACAGTAACACACAAGTTACCATAGTACAATAAACTGACAGACGCATAGTGGTAGTCATTAAATTTAGTTTAGTAGTACCAGTCTATCACTCCAACCTCCTCCCTCTTCCATGCCTGCTTTCAGGGTATCCAGGTAGCAGCTGGGTGCTTTTATTTACTGATTGATGAATCAGCTTTTTCTTTCACTAGTACAATCTGTCTATGTTTTTAGTAAAGTCATAACTCGTTTGAATTCATTCTACCTTCACAGTAAGGGAGGAGACATCCTCTGATCACAGAAAACACTCTATTTTTTCCTTGACGTACCTTCACTATTTCTTCTCTTTTCTCTCCCTCCTAACCCACTCCTGTTTTCTACCCTACCCTCTCTCGTTGCTCAGTCCCTCTCTTCATTCTTTTCCTTGGTGCAGTGATAGAAGCATATGTGTTGGGATTTGGAAAGGTTTCCTTATTCCTCCTAGGACAGCAGGTATATGTGTGTAAGGTGTAAACCTATATTTGTCATTTCATCTACTCTGTGCAGGATTAAGTTAACAATTGCTAGAAAAGGACAACATTGTTTGTAGAGAGCCAATGAAAAGAAAGGAAATCCTCAGTGGTAGTGACTGAGCAACTATAGTGACTAGCTACAACAATGGACTCAAGCAAACCAACAATCACTAAGATGGCATATTGTTGCTGTTGTTACGTGTCATCGAGTCTGTTCCAACTCATAGCAACCCTGTATAGGGTTTCCAAGGAGTGGCTGGTGAGCTTGAACCACTGACCTTGCGGTTCACACCAACATTGCAGTCCAGTGCTTTACTATGTAATATTTCTTGCTGCTATATATAAGGTTACCTGAGTTGTGCCAACTCAACTAACATGAACAAGAATTAATCTATGTAAACAAAGTACTTGGCACACAAGATTCAGGAAAGATACTGCCTCTATTTTTATTTTTTAAAGTTCTTATTGTGAATTGAGTGAAAGTTTACAGGGCAGATCATCAATTTTACATTCAACAAATCATACACTTTGTTTCACACTACAATGATTATAATCCCCACCATGTACCATCGGTTAACATTATTTCTCTCTATTCATTTTAGCTCTTTTTCTTTTTTTCAAAACCACTCAGGCATATATAATAATTTGCACCACCAAAGGGCACATTCTGCAAGCCTGCTTCCTGGCCACCAGCCCTTAGTCCCTCTCTTCCCATGGATCTAGAGTCCTCAGCTGCTCCCTCTCTCCCTGTCCCCATCTCTGCCTCCATCTCTGGTGTGGCTGCTTCTCTGGACTGCTCTATTTTTAACTGCAGCAAAACCAATGGCACTACCCGTGGGGAATTTTACTTAATCCTGCTACCAGCTGTCAGTACTAAAGAACCTAGTCTTCACTAGAGAGGCTAGAGGCATTCTATTTCAGCTATAAAATTGAAACTACATGAGATGATGTTAATATTTTACATGTTTTCTCCACCCCGATTATATGAGTGATTGAAAAGTCTTTCTATTTTTCTCTATCCCCTGTCTTTCCTTAAAACACCATTTTCATCATGTAACTCACCTGGCTTAAAACCTTCGTTGAGTCTTTGATGCATAATTAAGCTCCTTCACAATCTGAGCCATCCCATCTGCCCGACTTCATCTCCCCCTCCACCATCATAAGAACCCTCTCTTTGAGTTAAACTATTCCGCTCCTAGTGTCCTGGATTCACTATCAGTCTTCCTGTCCCCAAACTTTCATCTTAATCCCCTGTCTTGAAGACATTTTCTTCTCTTCCTATTTTTCTTTCCCTTCAAAGCTCAGTTTAAATGTGGCTTTCCTTAAAGTTGTTCCAGATGGACTAGCCCCAGGCTTTCTTGGCCTCTCTTGAAAGCAGCAGTATTTACTTTGTCCATGCTACACACAAGACCTGTGGCATAAACCACCATAGCCAACAACCAGTGGCATCAACGGGTCAACCCACAGGTATTTACTGAGCACTTGCTATGTGCCTGCCATTGTCATTGTCAAGTTCATTCCAACTCATTGGAACCCCATGTGACAGAGTAGATAGACCTACTGTAATCTTTATAGAAACAGATTACCAGGTCTTTCTCCTGTCACCAAACACCACTGGGAGGATTTGAACGGCCAGTCTTTTGTTAGAAGCCAAGTGCTTAACTATTGCACAACCAGGGCTTGTCCCAGGCACTCTACTGGGTACGAATTTTATGTCTACCAGCCTGAATCCAACTTTAGCTCTACTAAGTATCTGTGTGACTGTAAGCATGTTACTTAATCTCTGTGCATCAGTTCATCCGTTAATATCATCAGATATGAATAAGTACTTCATAAGGCTAGTTACAGAGGAGCCAAGATAACCCACGTTGAGTACTCTGCACAAGGCCAGGCAGCTAGTAACAACATTATAACTTACTACAGCTATTAATCAATGTGTATAGGTGTCCTGTCCGGCTCCTCAAGGAGAGAGACTATTTTCTGTGTCATTGTGTCCCCAGAATCTAGCACAGTGCCAATAGCCAAGACAGGTCTGTTGATTATAATGCAAGTGCTGCAACAGCTAGAATTAGGAAATCTAAAAATGACCTAAATGAATCCACAACACCCAGACTCATACACATGCCTCTGGAAACAAAAGCCATAATTAAATAATCAAATTACTTTAACAATATTAAACATGCAAGGGCCATTGTAATATAGGACATTTCATTGCCTTTAAGAAATGCAATGTTCAAATGCTAGCAAATAAAAGGCATACTTGCTACCCACAAACATACATTGCTACCAGACATGATCTGGCTGTCTTGGCCTGATGTGCCCATAAATCAAGCTTTCATCTGCTTACCTGTAATTTCCGCAAGGAGCAGGGATGAGTCAGTGTGAATTGTTCCAAAGTAGCAAGCGGTAGTTGTTCCATTCTTCAGTGTTCGCCTCTAAAAATAAACCACAAAAACCATGAATCGTGTGTGCCCACAGAAGTCACATGGCATATAGAAGACAGAACTCTAGTTTTTAGTTTAAAAGTGCTCTTTTATTTGAAGTATGCCATCTTGACATAGACTATGCTGTTGCTACTTCTGTGTGCCATTGAGTTGGTTCCGATTCATATGGACCCTGTATACAGTTTCTGAGGATGTAAATCTTTATGGGAGCAAAAAGTCTCATTTTTCTCCCATTGGGTGGCTGGTGGATTCAAATTCCTGACCTTGCCATTAGCAGTCCAACACCTAACCCACTCGACTATCAGGGTTCTTTAAGGTAAATGGCAAAAGTATTTGTGGCGCTGTGGGTTAATGTGCTAGATTGCAAAGTTGGTTTGAACTGTAAGGTTGGTGGTTCAAGCTCACCAGTCACTCCTTGGAAACCCTCTACAGGGTCGCTATGGGTCGGAACCAACTCAACAGCACTTAACAACAACAAGGAGTTAGCTGGAGGATACATTGATACTTTTGATTTCCTAGATTCACTTAATTCTGTTCAGAATTCAAAAAAAATTGATAGCAATTCCTTATTTCTTAGGATTGGTTAAGTATACCAAAGTCTATTGCAGCTGGGAATGACACAACTGGTTTTTCAGTTGTCCTTCTTCCTACACATTCTATCTCCAGGTTTATTGGGTCCCTATGGGACTTCTAAGGAGCTCTGGTA